CCTTCATGGCACCAGGCCAATAAGAATCTAAAACTAGCACATTGTCCATGGGGCAGTCAGTACACAATTCTTCTACATAGTGTAGGATTTTTTTTAAAAACCCTGTGAAATAGGAATACATTCTGTCTGGCATTAGCCTGCACTCGCCCTCTACTTCATGGGGCAGCAAAGAGGCTTGAGAAGGAATTGGTGAACCCTGTTGACGCTCTTCAATGGGCAGGGAAGAATGTAAGATCCTGTTGGGGGCATGGAGTAATTCTGCAACAACAGGCAGGCTGTCCTCTGGCCACACTCTTGCAGACTCACAGTGGCATCAGTTTTGCACTCAAAAGACATGATCAGGCCAGAGAGGGAGAGAACTATAGAGAATTGATCAGAGACAAAGCTAAGAGAAGACTGTAGCTAGAATCCCTTCTCGATGCTGAGTGTGCGCCGGGTGACATGCTCCATCTTCCCAGACACATATTCAGTCAGACTGATCTGGTAGTGGGCCAGCATCTTCAGCATAAGACGTAGGTTCAGCCACCACTGCTCCTTAGGAAGCCTGTGCCTACAGAAAAAAACCCAAACTCTGGATGAATGCCAGTCTGGCATATGTGATGTAACAACAAAGCAGCTCTGAATATATGCATGCCATGTCTCTCTTACAGACATTCCCAGGATATTTAAATCTTGGGGCACCGCTTCCAGGGAGATCTGTGCACTCCCTACCTCTCAAGAGAAAAGTAGATATGTAATAGTCAAGAAGCACCACAGCTCACTTTTGGATTCAATATATGTAGTAAGCTTATGAGAGGGTCTCCAAAAGGGATGATTAAATGTAATGTCTACATCAGCAGACAGAAAGGAAATCCAGATGATTGACCAATGCATGAACAGAGTGTCTGACATCATTCTGTATGCCATAATTTCCAGCATATCAGTGTTGCATGCCTTCCTTAGAACTTGGGTGATACTCTACCACCAAGACACTTACTCAAAATCGGTGACTTTTTTGAGCTCTGTCACTGGACTAAAGGATACAGTCTTCCTCCGTAGGCCAATGACACAAGCAGATTCTGCAGAATTGGCAAATACACGGCCTACAGAAACAGAGTGTCTTTACTTGTAATGCCAGAAAATTATCTCATCACACAAATGCTTTGGTATTACATGAGGCTATCTGGATATGTTATTCTGGATATTGCAACAACTACAAATGACCGAATGCTTCCTAAACCATTGTACTGAGAAATTCCAAGGAAAATGATTATATAATTTACCCACTGAATATAGACAAATGCTGAAAAACTAGCTTCCTGATAATCATTCTGATAGGAATAATTAATCAATAGCCTTGTTTGAAAGCAAGTCCTTCCACAAAATAATTTTCAAGGAGATTAGCACTATACAATATAGAAGTGATGGACAGAGATAGGCAGCATGGACAAAGCAGGGAACTGTAAATTCTGAAGTAACTGCAGGGAATTTGCCTGCAAATTGCCTGTTGGGATAGGGCATACTCTCTGATGTAGCAGAAGGGACTAATAGAGCAGCAAGGAGTTAAAAAATGAAAAACAATACTTGCTACTATGCACAGTTTATATGGCAAAGATTTGGATGTAGTTCAAGACCACTTCATTAAAGAAAATGGTAAGTAGTAGAGATCAAGATTTGATTACGTTCCTCTTTCCCTTAAGTGGAAGAAAGTGGGCAGGCTGCTGCCGAAAGTCTCTCTTAGCAAGTGGAAGACTGAGAGACAGAGCAGTCTCAGAGTAGTTGCCTCATAATATAATAGCAACATATCCCCTACAACTAACCATTCGATCGTTCTCCTTTAGTACCCTGTTACTCCTCTAATTAGAAACAAAAACTGAGAAGCAGGCAGTTGGGAGCATTGCTTAATACAGTGGTTTCACCTCCTTCTGCCAACATCTACTGAGCATCTTCTCGTTACAGGATGCAGCAGTGTCAACAACTTTCTATCATAGAAATAATAATTATGACATACCCTTGCGGTAAACTTCCTTCAACTTCTCTGACATCCACAGAACAGCTTTCACACCCAGCTTGGTGCCATAGTTGCGGTCAAAGGGGGTTGGAGCACCTCCCTAGAGATATAAAATTGAAAGTAGAGCCAAAAGACTAGCCATGCCAATCCTGTTGTAAGAGAAGCTGGCTGATGTATAGTTGGCTGGGACCATTCAACTCAGAAGTCATTTTGCAGGTATGTTCTGCAAAAGTGAGAAATGGTTAAAAGCAGCAAGGTGTAGACAGGTGTAAGATGGAAAATTATTGAGCCCTCAATTAAGGAAGCTGCTACCAAATAGGCATTTTCTTGATGACAACAGACACTAATTGTTGATAAATTCTGGTGGGACTGGGATGAGGGGAGTATGACTCTCCTGGTCCTGCTCAATCTCACAGCAGCTTTCGGTACCATTAATCATGGTGTCCTTTTGGACTGCCTATGAAGGCCTGGGATGGGGGTTACTGTTTTTCAGTGGTTCTCTTCCTTCTTGAGTGGATGGTTCCACTTGATGGTGGTGGATGGAGTGAGAGGTGTTTGATAATTATGGTTTATATTGTATTTTAAACCTCATCACATAATTAGCAGGGTATTCCTCTCAGATTCATTTTTCACTGGAACGGCACATAAGCAAAACTTTTTATCATGTCATTATTCCCTCCACTACAAGTTTTAATCAGCTAGCCTATGCCTCCTCAAAGTGCTGATGCAGTCTTGTGGCCTTCATCTTTACATACCTGTTGGAGATGGCCTAAAACATTGATCCTGCAATCAAATATTCCTTTTCCCTCTGAGGAGTATAGGTTATACAGGAACTCAGTGGTGTAATGTTCATGGCACTTCTCATTGCTAAAAAAAAAAAAGAAAAAACCAGAAAGAAAAAAGTATTGCGTAATATTTTATTACACAAATATCTGTAAGCAAGCATGACTATATCTTCTGAAGAAAAGGCAACACAGAAAAAAATTGTCTGGAAAATAATTAAAGATGTTACTACTGAATACTAAAGTTCTCTGTGGCTGAGTTTAGGGTATGTTTGGCTCTCTCCACATGAATCTTTCTGCCTTTTTAATTCATAAGAAAGATCCCTTGCACAGGGTTCCCCCTTCCCAAAACAAAAAGAAAATGCAGGGCTTTTTGACTGGTTTGGTAATAGTGCTGAATCCATGGAACATGAAACAGCATTAGTCATTCTTAACTTTCTGAAGACAAGAAACTTATTTCATTGCTTGTTTTGTATTTTTTATTAATTGCTGTATGCTGCATTTTTACTGTTTTTTCAGGATACACATTTAACATGTATTATATTGCAATGTTTTTAATGCTCGGATATGTGCGAATGTGAGGGAAGACAAGGCAAAGGCTTTGGAAAGAACCATTTACAAACCAAAAATATGAAAATTGATCATTACTAAATTTTTACCCCATCATGCATGTACAGGGAACTGAGGAGGAACTGATTAATGGCCTCCTCCAATTTGATGTTCTTTAGCTATACTGGTCTGTAAATAGAACCACCTCTACCATGCATATGATAGGAATTTTAATCCAACACATTTTCAGGGTATCAGGATAGGAGTGATTACAGGTAGTCCTCATTCAGCAATCACAATTGGGACCAGCACTCTGTTGTTAAGTGAAGCAGTCGCTAAGTGGAAAATCACATGACCGCCACTGTGCTTACGATTTTACTTCAGCTTTCCTTTTTCGCCACTCCCCTGCCCTTTGGAATGCTCACCCTGGTGCTAGAATAATTAGCAAGAAAGGAATTAATGTTCGCATTTACATTTATTGGAGAGGAAGGGATGCAAGAGAGTAAGCAGGCACACAATGGGAAATACACTGGCTGTTTGCCGAGCACGCTTGTGGCTCTGCACCACCACATTCCTTTTTATGTGTATTCCCCATTGTATGCCTGCTTACTCTCTTGTCATCCCTTCCTTTCCAATCTCTCTGCTCTATAAAGGGGGGGGGAGAAAAAACAGGTCAGGCATAGGACGTCTACTGACTGTAATGGCAATCACGTGACTGAGAGACGCTGCAAAGGTCATAAATGCAGGCATTGGTCACAAAGTTATTTTTTCAGCACCGTTGTAACTTTGAACAGTCACTGAATGAGGCAATTGGTAAGCAAGGTCTACCTGTAACGTACATCGTACAGTATAATTTAAGTGATAGTAAAACAAACACTGAACATTGACTATGAAGTAAGCAAACTACCTGGCTTTGCACTTTATTTATTTATTAAATTTATATGCTGCCCATCTCCCCCAGAGGGTGACTCTGGGTGGCTCACAATTAAAATAAAACCCAAAAACAGTTGAAAATATAAATAGCATTGGTCACAAAGTTATTTTTTCAGCACCGTTGTAACTTTGAACAGTCACTGAATGAGGCAATTGGTAAGCAAGGTCTACCTGTAACGTACATCATACAGTATAATTTAAGTGATAGTAAAACAAACACTGAACATTGATTATGAAGTAAGCAAACTACCTGGCTTTGCACTTTATTTATTTATTAAATTTATATGCTGCCCATCTCCCCCAGAGGGTGACTCTGGGTGGCTCACAATTAAAATAAAACCCAAAAACAGTTGAAAATATAAATACCCACATTAATTTAGTTAAAAAGTTGAACTACATAAAAAGACCATATACACTTGAGAAATCTTCAACTCTCTTTTTCTCTACAGCCCATTAGACACCCACAGATCAAAGTCAATCTCACAGATTTGAAAATTATTAATTTCCCTTCAATATTTCAGAGGTTGCAATGACTTCTTTTCTGTTGAATCACCATTCAGCTACACTGCACTCAGTTCCTTCAAAGAACTCCTGACTTACAACACGTTAAAAAAGGTTCAAAGTTCACACTCTTTCAGTGTCATGTTGCAATAGGGATATGCATGTTCTTTTACAATTATAACATGTCCTTGTTAAAATATTTCTATGACTTACCGGAGTACCAGACCTCTCTGAATGTCTGTTTTCATTTTGTCAGTCAAATGTTCAACATTCGCCTGGCAAGATAAAAAATACAATATTTTTATTGGACCAATTTTTGCTGATAATAGTAAAAGCAGTTATTTAGACAAAAGAAGGAGGAAATGACATTTCTGAGCTACACAGAACCAGATTAGATTAAAAAAATAATAAATGCTTTGTCCACATTGGATACAATGAATAGTTATCAGTGCAAAAACTATCTGACAAGTCCAGATCAGCCAGAAAGGTTAAAGTGAGAAATTTAAGAAACTCAGATCCTGTTTGTACCTTTGTTCTGAGAACCCAGGAGCATCACCTCTCATGTATCACTAAGAACATCAGCTACTATGACAACTATGGAATTCCTAAATAAATACATTTAGATCCAGTGTTTTCAGTCCCAGGCTTACATGGCGCAAGTTCAGAACAAATGATGAAATAATCAAAGTGGGAAAAGCACTGACCATTGGATCATATCTTGTTTTTCTATACACTTATTATCTCTAATCACACATTTATCACAAAAACAATATGGTTACACCCCTATATAACTGTCATCTGGAATATAAGATACCTCATAGACTTAAATAATATAAATTCCATGATTTTTAATAATAAATTTTAATGGGGGTGAGTGCAAGCTTTTTCATTTGCTATGTTGGCACTAGATTAATATGTTCATGTATGTGTCAACTAGGGGTAGACACAACCGTTTAACTTTGATGGTCAGTTCAGGGAGGAGTATTAATGAACTAGAAAAGGAATTTAAGAAATCTGTTTTTTTTCCTTCTCACAGAATGCAATCAGCAGTGTACAGATGGCATCCATGTCATGAAAGGAGACTGGTGCTATGATCTGGATTCAGTGTACATATATCTAAATACATACAATTCATACAGTATAGTTGGTAATATTTTGCAGTTGGGGGCTGCACTGTATTATTAATTACAGAATTATTTTTCCCCCCAACTTTTCAATCTCCAAGATCCACTGAAGGCATGGTGGTGACACAGGGATATCACCAGATTGGGGAGAGTTGAGATTTTTTTTACCCCTTTTTTCCTTTTTTTTTTTTTTTAGCAGTGAGAGTGGTTTAAATAGGTGCAAAACAGGTACATTAAGTCTTGCACAATATCTGTATCACCAGTTTTCCTATATTGGGAAAATACAAC